AGGAGGATCAAAAAGCCAGAGATCTCGCGGAGTTGAAGGGCTTGGCGGAACAACACGGTGAGGACATATCCCAATTCTTGAGCACGAACAAGCCCGATAAGCCGTCTAAGATGCACATGGCCTACATGCAGTTCATGCAAGCTGCTTGGGATGGGCTCGATAAGGACGCGCAGACAGTGGACAAGCTCGTGAAGCAAGTTGCCCCCCTAGACGTGTTCAAGACTCTGGCGATTAGCATCGAGCCGATCATCCCAATTGCCTGGGTTGACTTCGCCATGCTGGCAGCCGAATATCTGTACAACAACGAGGAGGAGAGTGCCATTCGTTTGAAGCCAGCAGTTTTTACAGACAAAAGTTCAATCCAAGCTTTCATGAAGATTCGCGTCAGTTATGTTCTTCATGCACTTGTCGATGGAGTCCTTGGCGGAGGTCCCCTGGAGAACTCATGGGCGCAATCGACTCCTGCCCGTGATGTTGTAAATTGCATTGCGGCTAACTTCAACACGTTCGTCCAGCTGGCCATTGCATTCGAAGGCGACCTTTGCTCCGACGGCTCCAGTGACTTCGACATCGTGAAGGAGTGGCCCATGCAGTGGTCCAGGCTCTTCGAGGAGGGGGAGAGGGAGGAGGGGGAGGAGGAGGAGGAGGAGGAGGAGGGGAGGAGGAGGAGGAGGAGGAGGAGGAGGAGGAGGAGGAGGAGGAGGAGGAGGAGGAGGAGGAGGAGGAGGAGGAGGAGAAGGACAAACTCCTTGCCGAAGCCAGACCTGTTTGCGACGCGCTCCTGCGCGGGCAAGACGACGATGGACAAGGAGAGGCCACGGGCGCTGGCAGAGGCCAGGATGGCGGCAAGGGCAGCTCCGAGGATCCGTTGCCGAAGGTGACGACAATGAATGAAGGGGCCCTGGGACACACAAATAAATACACACAAATAAAAAGATTCCCCATATTTTCCCATATTTTCTGGGTTTCTGTCTTCCCCCCCACTTCCCATATTTTCCCATATTTTCTGGAAAATCGAGGATTAATTGTGTCTGTGTGTTTTTTCCTCTCCTGAACTTCATCCACCCTGATGCAGCCACGGAAGCAGCGGGCTGCAAAAAGCAATCGAACACTCGCTGAGGGTCGAAAGCTCGGGGGGGGGCCTTCCGCAGAGGTTCCCAGGCCCAGGGTCCCTGCCCAGTGGGCTTCCGCGGTCGGCAAGGTCACCAAGGTCGGCTCCCCTTCCAAGCCTTCGAATCTTTTGCGTTTGCTCGGGTTCGGCCAAGGACGCTGAGCGCGCCACGGTCAACATGGGCAGCATGCTGGCGCTCACGGCTAAGGACGACGGTGACCACCATGGTGCCAACAAGATCCAGACTGTGAATCTCCCGAGGGAGTCGTATTCGACTCAGTTCGTCAAGATGCTTAGCATGGAGTTGGAATCGGAGCTCTACAAACTCGCCTTCATGAGCAAGGGCAACGGATGGTTGGCCGACCTCGAGTGTATCTTCGAAGATCCTGCTGCTCCGGACCCCAAGACCTGCGTTATCAGGATGAATTCTGACACGATCGGCAAACTGTAGCTGATAAGCCTTTTGGCCTGATCCGCCTGAACTCTGATGCGAGGGTGACTGATGTGAGGTTGTGTTCTCGGAGGGGATGTTGAGGTTGAGGAGGGGTAGGGCGCCCTTCTCGACTGGATGTGATCATGCACCGACTCGGTCTCGACCTCCCCCAAAGGGCCTACCTGGGTCTACTCCTTCGGTACAGTCCACAGTCCACAGCCTGGCCGATGGTCGTCGGATTTCGCTGGACGCGTTCAGATCTGCCAACCGAACTACGTATCGAAGTTGCCTCTTGTGACGCTGCTGTTTGGAGAAGATGTCAAGCTGACCCTGTGTGTCACGTCCGACAAGCTGGTCGATCTGTGGGGGGAAGCCTCATTCGTTCCTGCGTGGATCATCCCAGTTGCCGACAAAAGCAACCAGCCGACGATGACCTACGAGCAGGAGGCATACGCGGTAGAGCTGTCCAAGAGCCTGGTCAATTTTGCCGAGTTAGCGGCCCTTCGCGATGTGAACGGGAAGGTGATCGTGCCGCTCACTGTGCACTATGTGGAGCCTGCCCACGGTCTCTTGAAAGGAGACGCCCTGACGCGCCGTTTGCCAGGGGCCAAAGGTCTCGGCAAGGGCAAGGGCAAGGGCAAGAGTAGCAACAACGATCAGGCTGTGAGATTCAACATTTCAGAGTATTTAGGGTTCGCGGGCTTTGCCGCAGCTGCCGCGAAGACGCCCGCCAGTGCTTCTGCCGCCGACAGTTCTGACACAGGTGCCAATGGCAAGGGCTCGAAGGGGTCCAAGGCCAAAGGCACCAAAGGCAAAGGCAAGAGGGCCAGCTGCAGCGACGGGTCTCACCTTCTGTCATGAGCTCGGTCTTTTCTGGAGCTCGGGGTTTCTATAAGGTTCGGCCGCCTGTCATGAAAGGCACCGCCAGCCGCATGCGAAACGTGTTGGTACGGGCCTGAACTGGCCAGTCAATCCACAAGATTTGGTTTGCACTCAACGCGTGCTGGCGGTGCCTACGGGTTTGTTTTGCTGCGTCGCAGCACCAGGCGAGGCGTTGCACCTTATAATGCAATATCTTCTGCTGGGGCGAATTACCCGTGCCGACCATGAGCAGATTTCCTCCTCCCTCCTCGCCTCCTCTCCTATCTCCAATCCTATCCACCTCTCCCTCCTCTCCCTCCTATCCCTCCTCTCATATCTTGCTTCTGGTTTCACTGGACGGCGACTGGGCGGCGACTGCCCGGGCCTCGATTTCGAGGGGAAGAAATATCTAACCCAACCCCCCTGCTCCTCTTGCCCCCCCCCACCCCTTCCATTCTCCAGCCTTTCAGCGTCACTCTGCATCCTCCTTCCAGGGGATTCCAGGCGATTCCATGGGATTCCAAGCGATTCCAGGGGATCCCAGGGGACTCCATGGGATTCCAGGGATTCCAGGGGATTCCAGGAATGGCAAAAAACACGCAGTCACGTCGTCGGACGTCGGTCGTAGGAGGAGGGAGAGGAGGAGGAGGAGGAGGAGGATGAGGAGGAGGAGGAGGAGGAGGAGGAGGAGAGGAGGAGGAGAAGGAGGAGGAGGAGGAGGAGGAGGAAAAGGAGGAGGAGGAGGAGCGCTTTGACACTGGGCCCTCGGCGGCCATCGGTGGCCATCGGGATAGGGGCACAACGGGGCTAGCCGGGCTACCGCTTGAGTCTTCTTTGCAACTTCTTCGGGGCCCCCGCGCGGGTTTTCCTAGACATTTTGGGGCACCCTCAATCGACACTCTTTCGTTCAATAATACAAAGGTTTAAGCTTGACGCGTCCAACCGATGGTGGCTGGAGTAAAGTGAAGGGAGGGCATGGTGAGGGCGACGACGGTTATGCGACAGGCTCGACCTATGATGAGGATGATGATGATGATGATGATGATGATGATGATGATGATGATGATGATGATGATTATGGTTGTAATAATGCCATTGATGATGATGATGATGATGATGATGATGCCAGGGCACTCCTGCTGATGACTGAGGCAGCCAGCGATCATGATGAGGATGATGACGATGAAGATGATGACGACGGGCAGCCTCGTCAGGGCAATCGCGCCCTGACGAGGCTGCCCCGTCAGGGCAATAGTGCCCTGACCAAATGTTGTCCAAATGTTGTCCTTAGATGCTATCATTGGACTTACCAAATTGTCAGAGATAGTCCACAAAATAATTTTTGGAAGGCGCGCAAATGTGGATTAGCGATCCATGGATTTGCCGCGCGGTCGCCAAGTCCATGGGTCGGGGGAGGTGCCCTCCCCAAAATGCGGTGCCGCCTCGCTCGGCGGCGACAATCCGCGATTCCCCATGGAAGCAGGACCCGTCGCTAGTCCACGCCCCCTGAACCCATGCCTGCGATCGCCTGACATTCGTGGAGTACTTGTGGAGACTCCCCCTGCCGAGGGGCAGGCCCGACTTGCAGCCCTACCCCTCCGGGCCTCTGTGGCGGCCGCTCGTGGCGGGCTGCCGGCCCCCCCACCCCTTGGCACGGCACGAGCCCACGACCGGGGCGCCGCGGATGGCAGCCGAGCGCCCCCCGGGCACCTCTATAGACCTCGCCTGGCAGCACGGCCGGCAGCCTTCGAAGGCTCCCAGGGCACGCGCGCCCTCGACGGGGCGCCGCGGATGGCAGCCAAGCGCCCCGGGCATCGAAAATCTTGCCTGGCAGCACGGCCGGCAACGTTCGAAGGCTCCCAGGGGACGCAGCAAGACAGCGCTGCCCCTGACCATCCAGAGTGCTAAAAAATGGCCCTCCAGTCCCATGACCCATCTGGACTGCCTGAAACCTCGACCGGAATTAAGATGTCGAGGTCTCGGTGCTAATTTTAGCCCTCCTGGAGGGTCAGGGACGGCAGGGGGAAACAAATACAGCAGGAGCCCGACCACAAGAAACCTTCCACGAGCAACCCAACCCTGAAACCCTAGGAGGTCCTTTGAGTTTTGGTGTGGGAGCGTCCCGCTTTCCATAGCAGAAGCGTCGAAACCCAAGAAACCCAGGGCACCCTGGGTTTCTTGGCATGGGCCTCCACTGTAGTGGACATTCCCCCGCTCCCCCAAACTCTAAACTTGGCAAGCGCGGGGAGACTGCGGTCGAAAAGGAACTCATCAGACCCACTGCCAACTTTGAACATGGGGGGGGGGGCGTTGACCGATGAATGTGGCATGCGCTTATTTTTTCTGAGATATTATACGCCCTCCTTGGCGGCGCGCGTCCGACCCGAACATCTAGTGCACCCATCTGGTCGTATGTCGTTCCCCGAGCGGTGCTGCGCCCGCCACGACGCACACACTAGAAAGACTTCTCTCGGTGCGCGCGTTGCCCCTTGGGGGAAGGGGGAGGGGGCGGCGCACAGGTAGTGTTAGCATCTTGGGGTGACGCCGAATCCCACCCTGAGATTATCCCCGCCCATCGTTGCCAGTGCCCAGCCGCGCCGCGCAGTGGCGCCCGCTGGCAGCCAGTGGCGGAGTCAGAGCAGCGCCCGCAAGGAGTCGAGCAGCTCGGTCGTGCGGCGGTCCGCCTCGGGGCCGTGCGCGAGGCCGCACTGCGCCATGGTCAGCAGCCAGCGCAGGGACTGATTTCGGAGCGTGGCTTCCACCTGGAGGGTCAGAGAAAACCTATCCCCCTACAGGAAGAATGTTCGAGAATGGTTAAGAATAGTCTGGGGGCGACTTCCCGTGCTCTTTGGACTGTTTTTGAACATGCTGGACCATGCCTCTGCAAGAAGAATGTTCGAGAATGGTCAAGAGGAGTCTGGGGACGGTGTTCCGTGCTCTTTTGACTGCTTTTGAATATTACTGGCTAGTCTTGATTTTTCCTCCAGAAGCCGCCTGTAGGAGGACGTGCCCGACATAACTGTAGAGGGGCACAACACTTGCATGAGCAGAAACGTTTGGCGGTCCGCGCGGGTCTCTCAGATCGGCGTTGGGCCCCCCTCCCTGGCGCGCGGACGGCGCCACAGGGCGCCAACGCAGATTCAAGATATCCACGCGGACCGTCGAAAGTTTATGTTTACGCAGTCGTTCCTTCGATGAGTGGCTAAGACAAGCATCGCGCTGTGCCTCGCATCTATCAGGGGAGGGTGTACTTGCCGAAGGTGTGCCCGAGCATCTGCCCGAGTGTGGCCGAAACTCTGATTCGAAGCTAAACTGATTTCCAGTTTCAGTCACAATGTCGCTCGCAATTCGGTGTCGGTCACACTTTCAGGCGCATCATTACTTCGGTCACACACCTTTTGACTGAGCAAGGCCAGGCGGCATGAGAAACGGGTCTTATGCGAGATGGCACAGAAAAAAACAACAAAAAAAATAAAAAAAAAGAGAAAAAACAAAATAAGAAAATAGAAGAAAAAAAAAGAAGAAAAAAAAAAAGAAAAAAAAAAGAAAAAAATAAAAAGAAAAGACAGAGAAAAAAAAAAAAAAAAAAAAAATAAAAACGAAAAAAAAAAAGAAAAAACAGATAAAAAAAAAAGAAAAAATAAAAAAATAAAGATAAAAAACGAAAAAGAAAAAAAAAAAAAAAAAAAAAAAAAAGAGACGACCCTCGGGGAGCGCTATACGCCGCGGCTCACGCGGACCGCCAGCCGCCCACATAAATCCGCGTGAAGAGCTCTTGCGGTCACGAGCGGCCTTGCGACGCGACAGTTGTCGGCGCAGTCAACTATGTTATCTACGTCGCACACCTAGCCAAAAATAACCCAGGATACCTCGCCGTCATGAAATGAACCAGGCGAAAAGACCCAACCAAACCATAATGCCAGGTGTGAGTGCGCGATTGTGTTCCCCTCCTTCGGTGGAGCTCCCTATGAGGCTACGAAACGTGTGAGAGTTGTGCCGAAATTTGCGCGGTGCCGCCATGCGAACCCTGCCATTGGGGCCTTCGGTGGAGCTCCCTATGGGGCAGCGAAGCGCGTGAGGGGTGCGCCGACATGGGTGCGGTAGCGCCATGCGAACCCTGCCACTGAAGAGTTCGGTGGAGCTCCCTATGGGGCAGCGAAGCGTATGAGGGGTGTGCCGAAATGTGTGCGTTGGCGCCATGCGAACCCTGCCACTAGGCCCTTTGGTGGAGCTCCCTATGGGGCGACGAAATGTGTCAGGGGTGTGCCAGGGTGGGTGCAGTGGCGTCATGCGAACCCTGCCGCTGGGGTCTTCGGTTGAGCTCTCTATGTGGCAACGGGACGTGTGAGAGGTGTGCCGAAATGGGTACGCTGGCGCCTTGCGAACCCTGCCACTGGGGCATTCGGTGGAGCTCCCTATGGGGCCACGGGGCGTGTGAAGGGTGTGCCGGAATGGGCGCAGCGACGCCATGCGAAGCCTGCCGCTGAGGCCTTCGGTGAAGCTCCCTATGGGGCCACGAAGCGCGTGAGGGATGCGACGATATGGGTGCGATAGCGCCATGCGAACCCTGCCACTGAGGCCTTCGATGGAGTTCCCTATGGGGCCACGGGGCGTGTGAGGGGTGTGCCGAAATGGGTGCAGCGGCGCCATGCGAACCCTGCCCCTAGGGCCTTCGGTGGAGCTCGCTACGGGGCCACGAAACATGTGAGGGGTGTGCCGAAACAGAGACATGCACAAGGCAGAGGCAAGGGGGGGAGAAGGGGTTGATGGAGGAGGGAGGAGGGGGAGGAGGAGAAGGAGGAGGTCAGGGGAGGAACGCGGGCCGCTCTCTCTTCAAAACGAGGACCCACACCACAGGATGGTTGTGAAGCAGCACTACGCGAGTTTGTTGTTGTTGCTGTTGTTGTTGCTGCTATGTTCGGCTCTGCTTGGATCACCGCGTGGCTGCTATGGGACTGGGAGGGTGATGAGTGGATACCAAGGTGGCCTAGTGATAGCAGATAACTTGGTCAGAAGTGATATGAGTGGCTTAGGGGCATAAAGATCCAGGCCAAGTGGGCTCTGCCCACACGGCGGAGATAGCGCACCCACCCAAGCCACATACATGCTGGGTTCGGCCAGATATAACTCACCTTAACATCCACTTATCCACTCAACAACTCCCACGAATTGTCAAGTCTGGCATGACACCGGAGCGTGGCCTCCACCTAACCAGGCACCGAACCCCATCGCGTCATGAAAAACATGTCCTAGCACAGCACCCTAAACAGCAGCAATGGCAAACGTGAAGAGGCAGGTCGAGGAGTAGGAGGTCGGCTGTATGGGGATAGGGGCCGAGAGCATGGCCATGTGCACCTAGTCAGTCAAGCCAAGTCACCCCGCACGCACGGGGGCCACGAGGGAGGTGCGAGCGCAGCCGTCTGCACCTTGGTGCACTGACTGAAAAGATCGTGTCCATCCGGACCAAAGATGTGGCCGGCGCTCGGGCGAGAAAGCGACTACGGAACCAATTGTGAAGAGGTCTCGGGCGACACGGCTGCTGGACCAAGCGATCTCGGGAAGCGGTCCTGGACTCTCCGTAGCCCTGTGGGACTCTTCTGTGACTCTCTTCTCTCTGTGACTCTCTTCTTTCTTACCTCCGTGGGAGCCCTCCAACGAAACACTGGCAGGGGAAAGCCCAGACCCCCTCGCGTCATGAAGAAACACGACGCGAAGTGTCTTCACACTTTCATGAGCCAACGAAGAACGGTAAAACAACACTTGTTCGTCGCCAGGGGCGCCTGCCCCTGGGCGGCCGGAAAAATTATACCCATACGTTGCCACCGCAAGGGTATCAGCTTTCCAGCTGCCCAGGGGCAGGCGCCCCTGGCGACGAAAAGGGCTTTTTGATACCGCTCTTCGCCCGTTAAGTTGAGGCCGTGGGGGCCCTCGCCATGCCCCGGGCCGGTCCACGAGTGCTCGGGATGAAAACAGAGACGGCCCTGCGGCACGAGCCGGCTCGCCCAGGGTTGCTGGGAACGGCCAGCGACGTCAACGAAACACAAGCAGGTTCTACCAGTCGATTTCCAGGATGAGCATCGTTTTCCCCAGCCGCGTGGCCTGGGCCCCACTGGCCGATTTACCCCCCTAGATGGGGATGTAGGCCGTTCCCTTCGGGTTTCGAGGGGTGTATAATCAGCTGGGATGGTAATCCGGTGGGGGTCTCGAAGGGGATGAGGATGGGGAAGGGGGTCGGTTGAACGATACTGTCAGGAGGCGTTCTGCGGCACAACATGACGAGAAGCATGGCGATTTGGACGTGCAAGAGCATAAGCCGCGATGACACAACCATCGTATCAACATAGTGGCTTGTTGCTGGTAGCGCCGAAGTCGCTCTGAGCAACAGCATGGCGTGCGCCTTACTACATGTTGAAGGGCAGGAAAAGCCGCTTGAATCCTAGACCCGCATCGCGCTGATGCTCCACGCCAAGCGGTCACAATCTGAAGCCGCGAACAGCAGCAAAGCCGACACACTGAAGCTAGCACGCTGCGAATCACCGCAGAAGCCTTTCCTGACACAAACTGCCCAACGATCAAATGCCACTGATGACAAGGGTACCGGACGGACGAGGAGGAAGTTCGGTCGACCCAAAAGGGGGTCCAGCTGAAAGGGGGTGGTGCAATAGATTTGGGGCAATTGTGTTGCAAATGTATTGCGCCAGAGAATTGTATTGCATTGTGTTGCGACGAATGCATTGCGCGCGAAAACCCAGCAATATATCTGCGCCCCGGAATGTGTTGCACGCCCCAAATGTGTTGCAGCTCCAAAAATCTACACTTAGCCCGCAGAGTAAGGATGCGCGATAAAGATGCAATGCCCTTGGACGCCCATTTCGAAGCGTTTCGAGCGGGGCGCGGCCAACGAAAGTGTCCAAGGATGGACCCAGGAGGCAAGGATGCAAGGGTACCCTTGGGAAGGCTGCCTATCCTTACTCTGCGGGGCGACTGTATTGCACCAAGTCTAATGAAACCACCCCCTTGTCGCTGGACCCCCTTTTGGCTCAACCCGATGAAAAAAAAGAGCATTGCGCGTGGCCGACCACGATGGGCCTGCTTTCCACCACCACCACCACCATAAGTTGGAGGGGGAGGGTGTCCTCCTCCTCCTCCTCCTCCTCCACCTCCTCCTCCTGCTCCTTCTCCTTCTTCGCTTCGTCCTCCAACTTATGGTGGTGGTGGTGGAAAGCAGGCCCATCAGACTACACATCCCCTCCACAACCGCCGCAGTGGCTCGAGTGCCTTTGGCTGCCCCCAGGCTCCGGAACTCACCGGCGGGCGGCCCCCCGAATACAGGGCCCAGGAGGCTCCCTAAGAGAGCCCAGAGAGGAGGAGGAGTAGGAGGAGGAGGGGGAGGAGGAGGAAGAGGAGGGTGAGGTGGAGGAGGAGGAGGAGGAGGAGGAGGGGGAGGTGGAGGAGGAGGAGGAGGAGAGGGAGGTGGAGGTGGAGGAGGAGGAAGAGGAGGGGGAGGTGGAGGAGGAGGAGGGGGAGGAGGAGGAGGAGCAAGAGGAGTAGAAGAAGACAACACGCCATGGACGTGAACAGTTGGCGCTCCGCGCGGATTTCTTGGATCCGTGCCCGAGCCCCCAGTCCCTGGCGCGCAGAGACCGCAAGGGGCCAGAGGCGGCGCCAGAGGCGCAGCCAAGGGGGACCAAAGCGCGGCTCCAAAAAATCCGCGCGGAGCGCCAAAAGCTCTATGTTTATGACGTTTGTTCATCTTCGGCAGAGCGTCAGCGTCGTCGGCGTCGCCGCCGCCGCCGTCGTCGTCGTGGCCGTCCCCGTCGTCGTCGCAACGTCGTCGTCGTCGTCGTCATCGTCGTCGTCCCCGTCGTCGTCGCAAAGTCGTCGTCGTCGTCGTCGTCGTCGTCGTCGTCGTCGCAACGTCGTCGTCGTCGTCGTCGTCGTCGTCGTCGTCGTCGTCGTCGTCGTCCCCGTCGTCGTCGCAACGTCGTCGCAACGTCGTCACAACGTCGTCGTCGTCGCAACGTCGTAGTCGCAACGTCGTCGTCGTCGTCGTCGTCGTCGTCGTCGCAACGTCGTCGTCGTCGTCGTCGGCGTCGTCGTCGTCGTCGTCGTCGCAACGTCGTCGTTGTCGTCGTCGTAGCAACGTCGTCGTAGTCGCCGTGGGCCACCTCGCCCCACGGGTGGTGCCCCTGCCCGCGCTCGATGCCGAAGTCGGGACCAGGGCTTCCGAGCTGCCCGAACCTTGGGCGAGGATGCTCATAAGAAGGGGCCCAGGGGCACACAAAACAATATAGGCACAAATAAATGGACACACACACACGTATGGGGACACACATAGACAGGCACACATATAGATAGGTTCAGCACACATAGACACACAACTAGATATATAGACACAAATCGACTGACACAAATACATCGGCACAAAGAAGGGGCCCAGGGGCACACAAATAGATGGGCACAAAGCCCAGGATCCCCTCGATGTTCCAATACCTTCTGGGTGTTCTTTTTCCCCCCCCCACACCCCACATCTACCAATAGTTTTCCCGGGGAGTCGACGATTACTTGTGTGTCCGTGTGTTTCTCCCCTCCCGACTGATGTTGTGGTAACGTTGGCTCAGGATGCGTTCCAAGATTTCCAGAGTCGGGGATCTACTGACTCGGACTAGTGCAAGCTCGAGTCAATCGGGTTCTGCAGGATCCTGCAAGATCCTGCAAGATCCTCCTGGATCCTGCGCGCTGGCCCAGGCCAGTGCAACCCTGGCTTCGCAGGCTGCTGCGAGATCCGGCGCTCTGGATGATCCCCGTTGGCGTTTGCCCCCGTCTCTACCAGCTCGTCCGGCGGCGCAGCCAGTGCGGAACAGTGGGAAAGACTCGAAAAATCCAGGAGGCCTTGGAACTCCTGGAGCGCATCATCATCATGACCCCTTGCTCCGCCGTGAAGAGAGGGGCCCAAGGACACGCACACACAGATCCCAGGATCCCCCACCTCTTCCCACAAACCAACACACACTGATCCTAGGGTTCCCCATATCTTCAAATGGCTATCTCCTGGGTCCTTGTCTTCCCCCCACTCTTCCCGTGCATTCCCATGACCTTTCATGGGAGCCATGGGAGTCGACAGTGGACTGTGTCTCTGTGTGCCTGTCTGCGTGTGTGTGTCTGTGTGTGCGTGTGTGCGTGTGTGCGTGTGTGCGTGTGTGCGTGTGTGCGTGTGTGCGTGTGTGCGTGCGTGTGTGCGTGTGTGCGTGTGTGTGTGTGTGTGTGTGTGCTGCGTGCGTGCGTGCGTGCGTGCGTGCGTGCGTGCGTGCGTGCGTGCGTGCGTGCGTGCGTGCGTGCGTGCGTGCGTGCGTGCGTGCGTGCGTGCGTGCGTGCGTGTGTGCGCGTGTGGGCGTGTGCGTGTGTGCGTGTGTGCGTGTGTGCGTGTGTGCGTGGGTGCCCGCGGCGTACCTTTTCCTGTGCAAGCTCTTCGGCACCGCCTGCACCCCGGGCCCCGCCCGCTCCTGCCGCCTGAGGCCCCGCGCCTCCTGTTCCCTGTCTCCCTAATAAAAGCTGTGCGTAGCCCGCCTAGCTTTTAGCGGAAGAGGTTCGCTCTCGCCCCGCCGACCAAAAAAGTGTGTGCGTGGGTGAGCGTGCGCGCGTGTGCGCGTGTGTGCGTGTGCGCGTGTGCGCGTGTGCGCGTGTGCGCGTGTGTGCATGTGCGCGTGTGCGCGTGCGCGTGTGCGCGTGTGCGCGTGTGCGCGTGTGCGCGTGTGCGCGTGTGCGCGTGAGCGCGTGTGCGCGTGTGCGCGTGTGCGTGTGTGCTTGTGTGCGTATGTGCGCGTGTGCGCGTGTGTGCGTGTGCGCGTGTGCGCGTGTGCGCGTGTGCGCGTGTGCGTGTGTGCGCGTGTGCGCGTGTGCGTGTGCGTGTGCGCGTGTTGGGCGCGCGTGTGCGTGTGCGTGTGCGTGTGCGTGTGCGTGTGCGTGTGCGTGTGAGTGGTGCGCGTGCGTGTGCGTGTGCGTGTGGGTGTGCGTGTGCGTGTGAGAGGTGCTGTTGCGAGGGCGTGTGCGTGTGTGTGTCTGTGATGCGTGAGCGTGTGCTGTGCGGTGTGCATTTGCGTGTCCGTGTGCGGGGGGCGTGTGCGTGGTGCGTGCGGTGTGCGTGTTTGCGTGTGCGTGTGCGTGTACGTGGTGCGCTGGCGTGGTGCGTGGATGGCGTGGGGCTGTGCGTGTGCGTGTGCGTGTGCGTGTGCGTGGCTTCGCGGCGGGGTGCGGGTGCGTGTGCGTGTGCGTGAGCTGCGCGGGTGGCGTGTGCGTGTGCGCGTGCGCGTGCGTGTGCGTGTGCATGTGCGTGTGCGTGTGCGTGTGCGTGGTGCGTGGTGCGTGTGCGTGGTGCGTGGTGCGTGGTGCGTGTGCGTGTGCGTGGTGCGTGTGCGTCTGCGTATGCGTGTGCGTGTGCGTGGTGCGTGGTGCGTGTGCGCGTGCGTGTGCGTGTGCGTGTGCGTGTGCGTGTGCGTGTGCGTGTGCGTGTGCGTGTGCGTGTGCGTGTGCGTGTGCGTGTGCGTGTGCGTGTGCGTGTGCGTGTGCGTGTGCGTGTGCGTGTGCGTGTGCGTGTGCGTGTGCGTGTGCGTGTGCGTGTGCGTGTGCGTGTGCGTGTGCGTGTGCGTGTGCGTGTGCGGTGTGCGTGTGCGTGTGCGTGTGCGTGTGCGTGTGCGTGTGCGTGTGCGTGTGCGTGTGCGTGTGCGTGTGCGTGTGCGTGTGCGTGTGCGTGTGCGTGTGCGTGTGCGTGTGCGTGTGCGTGTGCGTGTGCGTGTGCGTGTGCGTGTGCGTGTGCGTGTGCGTGTGCGTGTGCGTGTGCGTGTGCGTGTGCGTGTGCGTGTGCGTGTGGCGTGTGCGTGTGCGTGTGCGTGTGCGTGTGCGTGTGCGTGTGCGTGTGCGTGTGCGTGTGCGTGTGCGTGTGCGTGTGCGTGTGCGTGTGCGTGTGCGTGTGCGTGTGCGTGTGCGTGTGCGAGTGCGTGTGCGTGTGCGTGTGCGTGTGCGAGTGCGTGTGCGTGTGCGTGTGCGTGTGCGTGTGCGTGTGCGTGTGCGTGTGCGTGTGCGTGTGCGTGTGCGTGTGCGTGTGCGTGTGCGTGTGCGTGTGCGTGTGCGTGTGCGTGTGCGTGTGCGTGTGCGTGTGCGTGTGCGTGTGCGTGTGCGTGTGCGTGTGCGTGTGCGTGTGCGTGTGCGTGTGCGTGTGCGTGTGCGTGTGCGTGTGCGTGTGCGTGTGCGTGTGCGTGTGCGTGTGCGTGTGCGTGTGCGTGTGCGTGTGCGTGTGTGTGTGTGTGTGCGTGTGCGTGTGCGTGTGCGTGTGCGTGTGCGTGTGCGTGTGCGTGTGCGTGTGCGTGCGTGTGCGTGTGCGTGTGCGTGTGCGTGTGCGTGTGCGTGTGCGTGTGCGTGTGCGTGTGCGTGTGCGTGTGCGTGTGCGTGTGCGTGTGCGTGTGCGTGTGCGTGTGCGTGTGCGTGTGCGTGTGCGTGTGTGCGGGGGGGGGTTCTCCTCCTGCGAGAGCCACGCGCCGATCGCCTCGATGCTCCCGGGTCCCAGCCCGACGGCCAGCGCCCGCTCCACGACCGCGGCCCGTGCCAGGGCCACGCGGGCGCCGCCGGACATGTGCTGCAGCACGTCGCGGCACCACCGCTCGGGCCGCACGGAGCCGCGCTTCGGGTGCGGCAGGTGGCAAAAATCGCACGCCTGGTTGTGCCTCGGGGAGGGAAGGAGCGAGGGGGAGGGAGGAGGGAGGAGGAGGAGAAGGAGGAGGAGGAGGAGGAGGAGGAGGAGGAGGATCCCGAGGAGGAGGAGGATCTCGAGAAGGAGGAAGAGGTACTCGGACAGAGATCAGACTTGGCATAGGCATGACCTGTCGGAGCTCCGTGTGCGGATTACCTGAGACCGGCGCCGGGGGCTCGGGGCGCGCCGGGGGCGGTGCTGGAGGCGAGGCCGGGTGGCTTCTCAGACCAAAGGCATTTGGCGGGTCCCGCCGCATTCCGCGGAGCTTCCGCCGGCTTTAGCCCGCGGAGGCGGCCTCAATTTGCTTCCGCGGGCTTCCGCCGCCCGTCCGCCGCCCTTCCGCAAAGAAAAAGATGACAACTCGTTCGATCCTCGAAGGCGAGGCCCTTTCTAGAACGCCCCATCCGTCACAATGTGTTCTGCTGCTCTTTCCTCGGTGTTCCCCCTGCTTGGGGCCTCCGGAGAGGCCCTCGTCGCCACGACCCGCTTCGCCCCGAACTGATGGTCAGAACACTCTCCCGAGGAGGTCCGGGGAGGAGTGGCATCGGCACTTTGATCACCGCAGGGGTGGCTAAGGGGATAAAGGGTCACACTTGGAGGCCGAGGTGGGCTGTGTCTGGCCTACAGCCTAGCCTATGAGTGGAATGCAAGTACCCTAAGTAGCTTGGGTGGGATCGCTGACTCTGCGATGTGGGCGGAGCCCACGCAGCACGGATATTACTCCCCACGAAGCAACTTAGGGCACTCCTGACTCCCTGATGAGCCAGCCATAACCCAGATCAACATCCGCTCAGAAAAGCCCCATCCCCTCAGAAGCCACCGTGCTAATTCAAGTCGGGCGGGTGTTGCAAGAGGGCGACCTACAGAAAGGGTAAAAATAAGGGGTCCTAAAGGGCTCCTGTAATTAACGCCGTTCTTCTTCACACCCTGTTTAGGTCACCTCCCCTGAAAACCCGCCCGATCAAGTACCTTTTTGATGAATAATGCATGTGCCTTAAATTCTTTGGGAGGGGACTTAAGGTAGGAGGGCCAAACCATTCGGGATACGGGGCCTTCCCTGCAGATGTACCAGACCAGGCCGCCCCATGTGTGACTTCGAATGCAAAGGAGGGGACCTAACTGAGGCCTCGTCTTCATCGTGTCATGCGGAAACTTAAGGTTTCTTTTGTTCTGGGGAAACCAAAAGGTACCGATACCACTACCCCCGGACCTCTCCCAGGGTGCGCTCTGGCCAGAATTTCGAAGGAATCCAGCCGTGGCCACGAGGGCCTCCCAGGAGGCCCAACAAGGGGAAAACGAATGAAGGGCAGCGGAATCGGTACCTTTCCCTCCCCTGATGTGTTCTCGATGACTTTCTGCTCCCCTCGGGCTCCGGCATCCACTGGCGGTCGGCCAGTACCAGCACGGCCGGTTGCACAGCTCCGGGTGGCCGTAGCTCCCCGCGCTCGGCAGGCAGCCGGAGCGTCGGACCACGCCGCGGCGGGCGCCGAGGCCGGCGCGGGGGGACGCCGAGGCAAGACCGGCGGCAGCGGCGTGATGCCGGGGAGCAGTGGCGACTAGATCGCGACAGACCCACACCCGTGTAGGGGGGGGGTCGTTGGGAGGAGGACTGGCCATGGGGATTGGGCGCGGGTTGTCGGACCCCGGAGGGCGCTCCCGTTCGAGCGGGGATCCCCATCCGACGACACGCGCCCATAGCCCCCGCCGCCCCCCCTATGGGTATGGATGTGTGTTGTTCGTTCGTCCAGCAAAGAATAGCCTCAGCATAAACTTCCGGAGCTGCGCGCGGATTTCTTGGATCTGCGCTGGGACAGCCCCCCCGTCCTTGGCGCGCGGAGCGGGCCAGGGGCGGCGCCAGCGGCGCCGCCAGGGGGCTCCAGCGCCGATCCGAGCACTCCGCGCGGAGCTAGAAATTTTCGGGTGTTGCTAGAATTCCCCCTGGCCCAAGGTGCCCCCAGCTTTTCGATCCATTTTGGAGCCCTGGGGCCCTCTGGGCCTCGTGAGGGCTGCTCTGGAAGCCGTTTCGTTTGGACTACCCCGAGAATCCTGGGGGGCACTTTGGCCCAGGGGCACTTCTATCCAGCGACGCCCGAAAAGTTTATGCTTGTGCCATCCGATGCTCCCCGATGACTTCCGCCTGCCTGGACCTCGTCGTCGGGCGCCCCGGCGCCATGGGCTCCGCCGAGCGGCCTCGGGGGCTGCCGCGGCGAGCGTGGAGACGGCCGCGGCGGACGCGCTGCGGCGCCCCGCGCGCCGCCGGGGGGCGTGGGCCCGCCGCCGCTGCTGCCGCGCTGCCGCCGGAGGCCGCTCCAGGCCAGCTGCTGCATCGGCGGCGGGGTCTCCGACGACGAGCCGTCGGCGGAAGACCTCTCCAGGGGCGTGGGCGGCACCGTGCGCGGCCTGCGCCGGGCAGGGGCGTGGACCTCGTGGACCAACGGCGTCAGCAGCTCCCGCAAGGAGCTGGCGCGGTCACTGCTGGGGCCCAGCTGCCAAGAGGCCACCCGCTGCTCCAGCACCCTGACGTACTCGTCCTGCCAGCCGCCCACGCGGCGCCCCCGGACCGCGTTCTGCCGCGGCGCCGACTGCGGCCCAGGGTCGCTGGCAGCCCTCGCCTCCAACTGATCCGCCCAAGAATCGCTCCCTGGATCTGAACAGACGTCGAGGAAAGTTCCGGTGCGCTGGAGTTTCCATTCCGTGTCCGTGCTGCCGGAGGCGGGCGCGGCCATGCGCAGCCGCGCGCTGTGGCCAGCGCCTCCAGGTGGAACCATGCTCTCTACACATTCCGGGCCGTCTCTGTACATCATCCGTTGAACCGGCGATCCGAAAATTGCTGAACTAAGGCACTTGGGACAAAACGGCTGCGGAGGCCTTCGTCACCATCATGGTGCTGACCGAACACCTCTGCGGCAGGGGTCTCAACCACGCAGGAAGTCCATGCCCACCCTCCCCATCTCGACTGCGAGAACCTCATACAGAGCTGTACGCAGGCCTGTCGGCCCGCTTACAAAAAAAACATGTGTGTTCCCCAACCGTGCTTTCACTGAAGGTGGTCGTCGCGAAGTCGAAAGAATTGGCGAAGATGCTTTGCCAATTTCGCTCGGCGGCGGGGTTCCCAATTTACGATTTCTGGCTTTGGCGGAAAAACTGTGCGCCGAATCCGGTAGGCGACCGAGTTCCTGAGCCAAGCTCCCCAATTCCAGGTCCCCAGCCGATTTCGGTGGGCGGCCAAGTTCCCTGGCTCCTCGCTCCAAATTTTTGGCTCCCAGCTCTGTACGGCTTCTGGGTCGGTTATATTCAGGTCTTGTTGCGCCAAGTGCGCATGTCATTGCGACAGCGAGAAAATGAGGAAGGCGAATTTAGATAATACGAATTGCAGATGAGAGGTTAGATCGCAGAGTTAGGCACCGAGAACAAAGACCAGAGCGGGTTGAGAGGGTAAAGACATTAAACATATTGGTAATTTTAATCCAATACGAACAGAGACATAGTAATGAGAGAAAGCGCAGAGAGAGAGAGAGAGAGACCTAGACTGAGAGAGAGAGAGAGATAGAGAGAGAACGTGGGACCACTCTCAGACTAGCAAAAGATTCAGTAGGGTAGATTACATTTCAAAGAGCGTAGGCCAAAGTCAATTATATGATCTCCTCCAGTAAACCTTGACCTTGGGGGTTCTTACCTCTGGGCCCCAATTCTAGAGGCCTCCCACATGGGGTCCGCGCAGATGGGGTCGGAGGATCGCGCCGCATCGCAGATACATGGGCGATGCATCGCCGACACATCGGTGATGCACTGGCGATGCATCGTCGACGTCGGCGATGCATCGGCGACGTGTGCGTGAAGAAAATCGGACCCCACATCGAGCCGCATCGGCGATGCATCGGCGATGCGGCGCCACCCTCTGGCCCCATCTACTCCGACCCCATCTAGGAGGCCTAGATTGGCACCCGTGGCCGCCAGTTGCCGCCGTCCGTCGCCGCGACTTCCACTCGTCCACTCGCATGGCATAGCAAGGCAGAAAGAGCATCGTGAACTTGCTTTGCATTGCACTGCTCTGCATGGCTATCCATTGCTCTTCATTGCCTTGTATCGCTTTGCATTGCTTCGCATCGCATTGCGTTGCTTTGCATCGCATTCCACTGCTCTGCACTGCGTTGCATCCAATTTGCATTGCTGCGTACTGCTTTGCATCGCATTAGACTGCATCCTTTTGCTTTATCTTGTAGCACACTGCTTTGCACTGCTTTGCATCGCATTGCACTGCTTGCCTGGAGGCCATGGTGGAAAACCAATTCGCTGGAGATTTGGGCTCCCAATGTGCGGCCGCAGGGGTCCCGACCCCTGCCCTGGGGATGAGCACGACGACTTGTATTATCGCCGTGGGGGTGGTGTATCTCGCCGATTTGCATAGGCGTCGCAATGGAAAACGTTCGTGGTCTCCGTGCTATGTATGAGTTTACCAGTACACACTCTATTCCCTGGCTGCCGATGGTCCGGTATCGTGTTGAGGTTGTTCAGTAAGAGGAATGGACGGAAAAGATAAGATAATATCGATGTAATGATCTTTCCAGCACATAGCGAACACAAGCAGCGTCCGGGCAAATAGGGCGCGCGTGCCTTGAGCCAAAGGCAACGGCGCGCGAGCTATACTCCCGATTCTGTATAACATCTTAAAGTCCATGCTGCAGACATGATGCAGGCACCACGCGCGCGTGCTATGACTGCTGCGCCTCCCAAGCGCAACGGCCGCGGCTCCTCTGCGAGGAGAGCAGACAGACCTCGCTCCGTGCGCGGCCCTTGGTGCTCTGGCTTATGGCTTCCAATCGGCTGTACAAGCATACGAAGCTGCTCGAGACGACCCCTGCGCCTGCCGCCCAAACACATCGTGACATTATGCACGGCTTCGCCGCTGAGGTCTTTGCCAACATCGAACCCCTGCCTCTGACCCCGATGGAGGCCCAGCCTGGGCCACCCTGCTTTCCGACCTCCCCGGCAACGCGGAGGACGCCCGACTCATGGCTGATCGGGCTGGGGAAGCCTGCGGCAGAGCGTGGTCTCAGGCCCATGCTGAAACCAAACAATCCATCAAGGAGTGGCTCCAGGTTTCGCTTCCCAGGGTTAGGTCGGGCATGCCCCCCTACAGGCGGGTTTTGGGCGAAAAAAAAGAAATATTCAAAACATGCACCATCTATCTATCTATCTATCTACCTATATATATATATATATATATATATACTAGAACCACGCGCGCGCTTCGCGCGCGCTTAGGTTCTCTTTTGGGGGCCTCTTTTGGGCCTCTTGGGGGCCTGTCGGGGGCCTCTTGGGGCGGAAAGCTCGACATGCCGGTTTGTGTTTCCCCTCTTGGGTCACTCTTGGGGTCGTCCTGAAGCCCTCTTGGGCCGTCTTGGGCCTCTCTCGGGCCGTTTGGGGGCTCTCTTGGGCCGGCTTGGGGGCCTCTTGGGGGCATCTTGGGGGCCTCTTGGGCCCTCTTGGGACGATGTTGGAAGCTTTTTGCGTAGTCTTGGCGTGTCGGAAGCCCGAAAACGCGAACAGCAAAAAAACTGCGAAAAACATAATTACGCTACCGAGGAACCCCACATACTTAATTTAAATATGATGTGCTTGCTTAAGTTTATCATATATGCGCAATTCTGCGTTCTCAGCCCTCGTCGCGAATGTTCCCCTCTGTGTCATCCAACGCCATATTGCTTGAACCTCCTCCTTCTTCCTAGCCTTCTATCCTCCATCGAAGACAGATTCGAGCCAGCCAGCGGCCGCGGTGAGGGACCACCCCCTGCGCACCCTCTGTGGTGTCGAGAAAGTGCCACGCCTGCTATGCCCTGGACGACCGTCGTGCATGGCGGCCGCGGTGAGGGACCACCCCCCTGCGCAGCCTTTACGGTGTCGAAAAACTGCCGCGCCTGCTATGCCCTGGACGACCGTCGTGCATAGCGGCCGCGGTGAGGGACCACCCCCTGCGCACCCCCTATGACGTCGAGAAAGTGCCACGCCTGCTATGCCATGGACGACCGTCGTGCATAGCGGCCGCGCTGAGGGACCACCCTCTGCGCACCCCCTGTGGTGTCGAGAAAGTGCCACTCCTGCCACGATCTGCGAGCGTGTCACGGATAGAGGCCGCGCTGAGGGACCACCCTCTGCGCACCCCCTGTGGTGTCGAGAAAGTGCCACTCCTGCCACGATCTGCGAGCGTGTCACGGATAGAGGCCGCGCTGAGGGACCACCCTCTGCGCACCCCTGTGGTGTCGAGAAAGTGCCACTCCTGCCACGATCTGCGAGCGTGTCACGGATAGAGGCCGCGCTGAGGGACCACCCTCTGCGCACCCCTTGTGGTGTCGAGAAAGTGCCACTCCTGCCACGATCTGCGAGCGTGTCACGGATAGAGGCCGCGCTGAGGGACCACCCTCTGCGCACCCCCTGTGGTGTCGAGAAAGTGCCACTCCTGCCACGATCTGCGAGCGTGTCACGGATAGAGGCCGCGCTGAGGGACCACCCTCTGCGCACCCCTGTGGTGTCGAGAAAGTGCCACTCCTGCCACGATCTGCGAGCGTGTCACGGATAGAGGCCGCGCTGAGGGACCACCCCTGCGCACCCCCTGTGGTGTCGAGAAAGTGCCACTCCTGCCACGATCTGCGAGCGTGTCACGGATAGAGGCCGCGCTGAGGGACCACCCTCTGCGCACCCCCTCGAGAAAGTGCCACTCCTGCCACGATCTGCGAGCGTGTCACGGATGCTGCACCCACCTGCGTGGTGTCGAGAAAGTGCCACTCCTGCCACGATCTGCGAGCGTGTCACGGATAGAGGCCGCGCTGAGGGCCGCGCTGAGGGACCACCCTCTGCGCACCCCCTGTGGTGTCGAGAAAGTGCCACTCCTGCCACGATCTGCGAGCGTGTCACGGATAGAGGCCGCGCTGAGGGACCACCCTCTGCGCACCCCCTGTGGTGTCGAGAAAGTGCCACTCCTGCCACGATCTGCGAGCGTGTCACGGATAGAGGCCGCGCTGAGGGACCACCCTCTGCGCACCCCCTGTGGTGTCGAGAAAGTGCCACTCCTGCCACGATCTGCGAGCGTGTCACGGATAGAGGCCGCGCTGAGGGACCACCCTCTGCGCACCCCCTGTGGTGTCGAGAAAGTGCCACTCCTGCCACGATCTGCGAGCGTGTCACGGATAGAGGCCGCGCTGAGGGACCACCCTCTGCGCACCCCCTGTGGTGTCGAGAAAGTGCCACTCCTGCCACGATCTGCGAGCGTGTCACGGATAGAGGCCGCGCTGAGGGGCCACCCTCTGCGCAACCCCTGTGGTGTCGAGAAAGTGCCACTCCTGCCACGATCTGCGAGCGTGTCACGGATAGAGGCCGCGCTGAGGGACCACCCTCTGCGCACCCCCTGCGGTGTCGAGAAATGCCACTCCTGCCACGATCTGCGAGCGTGTCACGGATAGAGGCCGCGCTGAGGGACCACCCTCTGCGCACCCCCTGTTGCGTCGAGAACGTGCCATTCCTGCCACGATCTGCGAGCGTGTCACGGATAGAGGCCGCGCTGAGGGACCACCCTCTGCGCACCCCTTCTGGTGTCAAGAAAGTGCCACTCCTGCCACGATCTGCGAGCGTGTCACGGATAGAGGCCGCGCTGAGGGACCACCCTCTGCGCACCCCCTGTGGTGTCGAGAAAGTGCCACTCCTGCCACGATCTGCGAGCGTGTCACGGATAGAGGCCGCGCTGAGGGACCACCCTCTGCGCACCCCCTGTGGTGTCGAGAAAGTGCCACTCCTGCCACGATCTGCGAGCGTGTCACGGATAGAGGCCGCGCTGAGGGACCACCCTCTGCGCACCCCCTGTTGCGTCGAGAAAATGCCACTCCTGCCACGCTCTCCGACCCGCTGTGCTGTGCTCTGCCGTGCTGTGCTGTGCTGCGGTGAG